ACCGGTAACAGTTGCGCGAGCGTCCCCTATCCTTCGGATTCTGGTGGCCTAGCGACCGCCGCCCTGACGACCTCAATTATTTCAATCATGCCCACAAACCCGAGCATACACGCGCGCCCGAATACCTAAGGACCACTTAAATATTCGACCCCTCGGCCCCAAGCGACATCCCCTCGGCCAATTGCAAGACACCAATAACAAAGCAATTGAATCTGCTCTCCCAGATCTGGCTTGGCGCAATCAACACCAGAACTGGCTTCGCCAGTGGGCACTGCCACGTCGTACAGAAATTCGGAGTTTTGTAAATATTAAATCACTTCATGTGGTGACTTGTGGCTTTTAACTTTCAACTTGGTAGTTGGCCTGATGACTGTAGTGATCTGAGAACTATCCACTACTATGAATCCTTAAGAGTAACCAAAATCACAAAATCTGAATTTTCTGAAAGAACCATACAAGATCATTAAAACAGCCATATATGGCTCGCGAGCCATGGGTTGCCGACCCCGGTAGAAGTAAAACTGACAGTAGAATTTTATCACATATCCTGCGGGGACAGGAAAACACACGGGGTTACAACAATGTTCGGGTCTGCTTTCCTTCTCACGTGAATACGGATTTCCTGAAATTTGTATTCCTTCTGTGTAAGCAATATTGCGTACGTTCGTATATTGTGACAAAGCGGTCGAGCAATGCTTTGCCACGAAGTCGGATCATGTTTAAAAACCTGTACGTATATTGCAGGCGTTCGCGTTTACGCGCGCCGCTTTATGCCTCGTAGAAAAAAATTCTTTATTTAGGTATTTGTAAGTCGGGTACTTCAAATCCTATTTAAGCCATACAGTAGATATCCAAACAGATTTCTGAAAAGAAGTACTGTGCAAATTTCAGAAAAGTATCAGCGTTGATGAAATGAAACGTAGTGGTGGATTCTTTTTTTCAATTAGTACGTAAATTTACATAAAACTGTCTGCCGCATACACTCATCACGTGCCTGCAATTAATACGTTTTAAATATAATATGCATAGCTCTGGTCAAACAGAAGGACATTACTTCCATATACGTTTATAGCTATGGATGGACAGCTCGCAGAAGTCAAGCTTAAATTGGGAGGCAGAACGGTTCAACGGCATTTCGTTAGGGATCTCTGAGTAAACGTATTTTATTTATTCACTCGCATCGCTCATTTCAGAGTCGCAGGAATCGAAAAGATTGGGCGACTGATGTAAAAAAAACGTCTGAACGCTAAAGTGCAGATGAGGTTATAATTATTAAACGGTTCAAAGTCGATATTGTTAAATTTAAATCCGCACTTCATAGTGTACGCATAACATCCAAATGTGGATTGTGTGCGAGTGCGACTGCTCTTTTTTTACCAAACGATTCCGCATCGGTTCGCAAACCCCTAATAACCCAACCGCTCAAAATTTCCTAACCGTGGATCATACGTATTGTGTAAGTGTGTGTTTGTTTGTTTTCAGTGCAGAGGAGCTGACCGTGTTGCAATTTTTTTCACACAAAGGGCACTCAAAGTTCTGTCAAGAGCTCATATCAATTAGGAAGTGAATAAACTTTTGCGATTTTCTTATTCACAAAAGACTCTCGCTTTCCGATCTCACGCGTTTACTATTATTTTCATGATTTGAGTGGGGATGGCGGAGCAGCAAGGCTTCACGCGGTTTTCGTGTTCGGGATAAGAGATCGTCGCTGGCGAAACGGGCACCCCTTAAAGTTTGTCCCACAATGCATGCAGCGGCTTTCGTGGGGATTAAGGACACAGCAAAACGCAAAAGATGCGATAAGTCGCCGTGTCTTTTACAAAATAGTAAAGCGGGTGTAGACACTGTTATGAATATTAACACATGTCGCACATCGGTTTGGGAAAGACAACATAAACAGATGTGCAACGGGGTATATTTTATTAAACCATTTTTGGTAAATTACCGCGCAAGGACCGCCTTCCTGAAAAAGCGGAGCACGAATTGGCATATTGCAATAATGAATCCACTGAAGTATGATGCAAGTAAGGTAGCAAACGATAGGCGTACTGCAATAACACTTTGGCCCATTTAGTCGCGCAATGGCGCACTTTTTCATCTTCCAATGTTTGT